ATAGAATACTTCTGGTGTGGATGTCGTCAATCACAAAAGGAGAGGGAAAAAAAAACATCGACAGAAATACCAAAAGTAATTTGGTTTAGTTGTTATAGTTAATTCAATCTTTATTCATGAAGCGTATTGTAGTATAATTAAAGTACATGTTCGTGAGCATAATTTTGACTAAGATACTTGAAAGAAGTACTAGCAATTACAATTACAGAGTGTGTTTAAATATGAGATCATTTGGGGGAAAAAATTATTTCAAATAATACCACGAGCGATATATACGCTTTGTGTGATGCGATATTACTTCAAATAATACGCTTTGTGTGATGCGATATATATAAGATTTTTATAAAAAAAAGTTATTGAAAATTGTGTTTATGATGCAATCAGGATAATATTTGCAATTTTTTTTTCTCCAAATTTGACTATCCAAATGGATTTTACTTTAAGGCTTGATTTTGTGCCACATATGGATCTGTGTAAAAGACAATAAACTACTACACCGTTTGGATTCCTTGTTTTTGCCTCTGTTTTTGATAAACTGTTTTTCACATTCCAAATGCTACAGTAAATGTGTATTTCAAAAACAATTCCAAAAACATCCAAACATTATATCAAAAACAACTCCAAATATACATATTTAATTTGTATATTTCAATTATGTATATTACGTATATATATATTATATTAATATAAATTGAAATATACAAATTGAAAATTATATATTTATATATTATATATTAATATTATACATAATATTGTATATTATACATAAACATAATATAATATACATAATTGTAATATTGTATACATAAATGTATAAATATTGTATACAAAATATATTATGTACATTACATTATAATATATACATTATTAATGTACTTTCATTATTATGTACATTATTGTGCATAATAATGTATAATAATGTTATGTATAATATATAATATACATAATATGTAATAATGTATAAATGTATATTATGTATAATATATTATATTATGTATATTATATTATATATATACAATATTATGTATATTATACAAATTGAAAATTTTATATTGTATATTATATAAATAATTATATAATGAAATATACAATAAATATTACAAATTGAAATATTATATAAAAACCATATTTATAATATTATAATATTTATAATTAATATTAATTATATTATATATATTTAATATATATATATATATTTATTCATATTATAAATATTTTATTTTATTTTAAATATATTTTTATATTATTTTAAATATATTTATATAAATATTATATAGTATATATATTATACATTTATATAAATGTAAATTTATACATTATATATATATATATATATTTATGTATATTTATAATATACATTTATATTATGTATTATATATAATATAATACATTTATATTAATATACATAATATTAATTTTACATTTATACATAATATTAATAAATATTTATAATATATTAATTTATACATTTATATAATATTAATTTATAATTTATACATTCATAATAATATACACTTATACATTTATAAATATATTTATATTATGTATTATATATAATATAATACATTTATAATATATTTATATATTATTTATATATAAATATATTATAAATGTATTATAAATGCATAAAAAATATAAAAATTATAAATTATAAAAATACTGAAAAAATATGTTTTAAAAATACCTCTAAAAATAATCCAAAAAAATCTACAGTACAAGTTTTTCATATAGTTTTTGAAAATAACCCAAAAAATAACTAATCCAAACGGACTTGTATTTCAAAAATAAAATGCTACAGTATTGTTTTTTAAAAATAACCCCAAAAACAGCTAATCCAAACGGACCCTATATATTTGAAAAAGCTCACGGAATACGTGTGTACTTAACGTCTATAGTGGTGAGGTCGCATTAACAAGTTCTCCAAGGTGCCTTCTTGTTGACAGCGTGCAAAAGAAAAATGAGGGAGTCAGTTTATATTAGGAACTTCATTTTTTAAATTAGGAACTACACAATGACATATTTGTATTTAGTTTGATAATTAGTTGTATTATATAAATTAAAAGTATTTTTCACCAATTTAGGGTCTGTTTGGATGGAAGTAAAATGTTTTCCTTGGGAAAATATTTTCCGTGGAAGTAATTTTCCATGAAAATCATTTCCCTTTCATCATTTTCAGGTGTTTGGTTAGCTTATTGAAAATATTTTCTTACTTCATTTTTCTGGTGTTTGTTTAACTTTTGAAATATTTTCACTTTTATCTCTATCTTTACTTTCTACACATTATAACTACATATTTCTTCCCATGTAAAATAAGAAAATTTATCTCATTGTTTAACTTTAAAAAATCTTGGAGAGATGTATATATGAATAAAAAATATCTCCTTAAACAATAAACAAATTGCTGGCCATTTAGTGTCAAATATCAATCATATGCAATGCTTATTGTGACATATATCTTGCACTCTCACTGCTGAAAGTTTTTCTAGAAAAGAATGTCCCTATTATACATAATTAATTACTAACATAGGATGAGCAGGATGAGGTTTTTTTTTTTTATTTTGAATATACTAGGGGGGGTTGGGTGGTACGGGGGAGGGAGTGTAAGGAAAAAGTCTTGGGTTCGAATCCTCCTGTTTACACTAAAAAAAAAAAAGAACATACTACAAAATGTTTTCAGTAAGTTTGGAACATACTACAAGCGGGATGCATGTATTTCGGAAAACAACTTCAGTAAGTTTGGAAGGGAAGTTGTTTTCCATAAGATGAGTGAAAATATTTTACATAGGAAAATGTTTTCAGTAACTTTTGTGCAACCAAACACGGGAAATTAGGAAAATATTTTCCTGAAAAACATTTTCACCCGAAACAAACGGACCCATAGAGGAGTTGTATTTCTTTATAAAATTACTTGTTAAAGCACGGCTATCTTTCTGACAAAACAAAAGGTAGATGATAGGAATATATTTTATACATGTTAGTCCTCTTTTATATATTCGATACCTTAAAAAATTAAAAAAATCAGCAATCTAGTGACGACGCGAATGGGTATTATAGTTGGTCCTATTATATTAAGTCATTATCCGAGACAAGATTTCACCACTTAACTTATATTTCTATTCCTATTTTTCAGAGTTAATGAGAGCTGTTGTTTGAAGATATAATTGAATTATGCATATTTATAAAAATCAGATATAATTGAATTATGCATATTTATAAAAATCAAATGAAAAAGACGTAAACTTAAACTTTTCTTAGTGTTGGAAAAATTGGCTGTTAATGGGTCAGCCCAACTTGAAATTGATCCGTCCGACCCCAAAAAAGCTACCTGAACCTAAGTTTTAATTGGGCCAAGTAGAGTTTGGTCCAAAATATTAGACTTGAACTAAATTCGAGTCTAATTTGGGCCACATTAGGCTCAAATCCAATTAAAATGAGCAAAATTGTGCATACATACATGCATATACATCAACAATTTATAATTATACGTATATATTATGATATAAAATGTTAATGATTTATATATAGATTTATAGTAATTTATAATTATAATATATATTTTATATAATTATGTATTTAATTATGAATTTGGGTCAAATCCGATCTGAATTTGAAACTTATATAATAATGTGAATTGAGTTTGAACTTTTCAATTTGAGATCGAAGCCCAAAAGTTTAGAACCTGAAAGCTTGTATCATTCGTGAGTCGAGTCTGGACTTGTCAAAACCCAATTCACAAAATCCAATTGACACCCTTAATATTTAGGAAAGCTTGTGCAGTTTGAAAATTATAGACCAATGCTCTTAGCTTCTAATATTGGGCTCGTTAGGTAGAGAAAATTGAAAATTTCTTTTCCGAGTTGCAAGCACATGGGATTGGGATCCTAGTGTTGCTTTTCCGACGACAATTCAGTACAACTTCTATATTTATGCTAAATATTCTGTTTATTTAACTTGTCATATGCTGTTTATTTAAATTTCTTCTTCCATTACGTGATAAGTGGGATTGACACTGAATTTGGCACCGAGTAGTTGCATAGAGGATCCCAATTGAGTTGCAAGGTGCTGGTTTCTCATCTTCTTTTTTGTCTTTTCGAATGATAGTTCATAGTTTTTTATTTTTTTATTTTTTTGAGGGTAAGGGTAGTACATAGTTAAAACTTAAAAGCTTCTTGGACTTCTAACGCAGTACGTGTTATAAGTTGCACATTGGTCTGTTTCCCTATTCTCAACTGAAGCTAGTCCAATACAGAACATCGGAACATCCAAGTTTCTTTTGCAGCTAAATTGTAACACAAACGCCCAAAAAAAAAAAAAAAGTTCAAATGCTGCCCCAGTATCCAGAACATGTACATTGTAGGTAGGTGGTTGGGGCACACTATCACACAAGATACCCTTCCAAAACGGGGATTAATCTGGAGATTATATCGCAGTTTCCTCGTCAGAATTATACATTTAACATCAAGAGACAGCCAAATATTGTGTTTAATGTGATAACAATTTTCTGTTTATTCATTAATAGGCACTTTCTTAAAGATAAGTGCCAGGGTTTCCACCTCATTAATCTTTTCAGACATCAGCAGCTGCACAAGATTATCCCAAGGAATTGAAGAAATCCACAAAGTATTAACTCAACAACTGCCAAGGCAATAAGGTCAATAATCAATGCGGGCAATCTCTTTTCAAATTGTAAACCTTATTACGGTAAGGAAATAACTAATTTCCAAAATCATGATACAGTAATCAATTTTGGGGAAGAATTCAACTGGGGAAGAGCCGTAAGCAGTAAATATGGTAGGTAGATTTTCTTTATTTTTTTTTGTATTTATAGGCCAGGTGGGCTTCTTTCTAACATCCCCACAAAATGCAATGAACACCTCACTCATTTCTAGTCGGTGCATGCTCTTGAACCCTATCATGTTTTCCTTTCCATCTTTCCTCTGAGAAGAATTTTTTTTTTTTTTTGGCTTCACTTGGTTTTGCAGGTATAAGCATTGATAACAATGGAGGATAAGGCATCAAGGAGTGCATCAAGACCCCCCATATACCCTAAATTTAATTCCTCCACCCCCCTCCCCACCTTTACGATGATGTTCCCATCAACGTTAGCGGAGGCATTCGAAAACTCTTCTCATGGAGCTGGGGCTGGGGCTGGCCAAAATGGCAAAAGTGTTGCTATTTCTCCTGAACATAGGGTTGATCTTAACGCACCGCCTTCCCCTCATGTCACCCTTGATGCTGAGGAGGAGGAAACGGACAAAAATCAGATAGAGAACACTCCTCCATCTACCAGTAAAAAATGTCAAATCAATCAGGATGAAGAAGAAGAAGAATTTTCCCATAAGGCTAAGCGTATAATGACACTTGATGAAGCCATTCAATTTGAAAAAAATGATCGTGACCTGTCCCTCGAAGATGAAAGGAAGCTCAGAAGGTGATTAAAAACAAATCCATCTTACGGATTATATTTCCTCCCCTTGGTAGAAAAGCTTCGATTTCTAGAAATGAACTCAAAAACCCTTGTTTCCTCTCTTTCCCTTGTTATTAATATTATTATTTGCTGCTTCCAGGACTGTATCAAACAGGCTTTCCGCCCAGAGATCTCGACAGAAGAGGGCTCAGTACATTGATGAATTGCTTAAAAAGATTAAAGATTTACAGGTAGCTAACTAGGGTAAAGAACTAGCAAACAATCTCTAATTAGGTTTTCTTTTTGTTCCTCGATATCTTCTAGACGGTCCGTTTTCTTCTTACACGTTTTTAACTCTTTTGAGATATATCGTTTTACTTTAAAAAAAAAAAACTCTTTCAGGATATTTCAATTCATATTATTGATACCAACAAACCAAAAAAACAGAAATAAGTCTTCTTTGTTTACTACCTTACACCTTTTGTTTTTAATTTTGGTGAATCACAATTGCAGGATTATGTTGAATCCCTGACTTCCCAGTTGGAGAGCTGCATAGAGGGGCAGAAAATGCTGAAGATGCAGAAAGCCATTCTGGAGCAACGATTGAAGAACTGCATCGACAAATCTGCTTTGTGCGACAGTACGAATCATGCATGCAACCACTGTCACTAATTAAGTAAAATGTATATTCTAATGATTTTTCCCTTTATTATCACTATTGTTTTGCTTGAATTTGAAGGGGAAATTGAGGAGAAACAGGCTGAAATAAGGAGGCTCAAATACTTATACGAGGCCCTGCAGAAAGAGGGGATGATGCTGAGTTCTGCTGCGCCCAGTGCTGCAAGCTCAACAAGCAGCCTCCCCATTTATCCACCTGAAAGTGAGAGTAATTATCAAAGGGTTCTCTCCTTCAATTCTGCAAGCTTCTTTCAGATTGAGCAGCGGGCCGCAGTTGTGGAAGTTGTAAGCTCAGATCAAGGGGGGATTGAACAGTATCTGAACTTGGATGCAATGAATGTTTCTTCCTTCAATGCAACAGATACAATGTGACCATATCTACCATGAAGAATTTTTCTCGGCAGCTGTTTGGGTTTAATTTTCCATTATTTGTGTAAGAGATATAGAGGCCGAATTTAGTTTCATTGTTTTAGTTTCCATTGTGATTATGTAGCTTTTAAGCTCTGCGAACAGAATGTGTGCATTTTCTGCTGTAGAGAACAGTGAATGAAGTATGATTTTCCGCATGTGAACCAAGAACTATTTTAAATCTTTTCACTTACTCTTATGAAAAAATAAGGGGAAAAAAAAACTTCTCACTTAACTATTAACTATCTATGTTTCAAAAAAAACAAACTATAACTATCTAAAAAACAATTCTTTGGCATTCCCCAGTTGCGTAACAAAGATCTCTCGGTGTTGAATGAGCAGTGTCAATCAGATTCATTTTGCATCCAGCAGTCAATTTTACTACTCCTCGAGTTTCATGTGGATTTTGAGGTAGGGTTATTACTACGAAATAAGGGTTTGATGCAGTGACAAGTAGTCTTGTACGGCCAAATTGCCGGTGCCTACCATCAATCTTGTAATATCATTTTAAGAGAAACAAGAAAATTTCTAACTTTTCATTTGTTTTCTTCAAAATTTTATTCACTTTTTCCGTTGCTCTATCAAACTTGAAATATGTTTGAAACATTCCATTTGACATTCTAAAACCCAAAACTAGTTCATAGGCAAACTAATTTGCAAACTTACATCCTCTCCTATTTGATTGAGCCACAATGAATATGCGCACAAATAGAAAACCTTTTCCCATTCAATTTAGCCAACGTCTTGCAATCTAATCAGGCTTCAAATTCTATGTCATACGCCCAGGCTTCTATTTGCATTATCTTAAAGACAGTTTTCTAAGGCAAAATGGAACCCGACTTGTACTCGAGAGAAACAACAAAGTAAATTGAAAAACAAAAAAGAAGACCCCAGAATCCGCAGCATTAAGAGATCAGAAAAGAAAACTTTCCAAGGCATAAGAAAAAGTCGGGAAGTTCATCAACGAGTCCATTGGGTAAGATAACATTATACAGGCGGGACAAATATAACAGGCTAATTAAATTGCAACAATGTACTCCGTAATACACGCTCTGATGCCTGGAAATGACCAACTAAGCAAGAGGACAATGACAAGTTTGTCATTTAGATTAATGTGCTAAGGTTTTAGATTCTACAGAACTGAAATGTCGTTTCCTCTGCAAAAGTTACTAGAGAAACTAAAATCAACATGTTAAACAAGAAAATCATGACCACAAACCCTTAAGGTATATGAATTCCTTTGAAGTCTGAATAAAAAAGATTGCACTGCAGCCCTTATATTGAGTTTTTCAAGATAGTCAAATCAAAATTTCAGAATGAAATGTCCGCATAAATCATGCTGTTGATTGAAACATGTTCTTATATTTAGCCTAGAACATAAATTGAGTAAAAGAGGAAGAATCTTTGCATCCCCCAAACTCCGAATATTGGAAGCCTATTAACCGAGCCCACATGACCTCATTTGTTTTAGAACACTAAAACGGATTTTTACTTCGTTCAAGACTAAAGAAAAGGACTTTTCTAGTGGAAAGAGAGAAGGGGAATTGACAAGGATGAGAATGGACAGTTTCAAAGTGATCAAAGACAAGGAAGATCAAAACAAAATACCAGACAAAAGCATAAATTTGATTTACCTTTATAATCCTTGTCCTTACAAAACATGCTATCATCGGGGAATCCTCTTGTGCAAGTACCAACAAGATCTCACTAGAATTACATAAATTCATATAGTCAGATCTAGAGTACTTGCCAACATTGGATTCTTAAACTTATGAGTATCTTCATTCAACCTGTTAAATGTGGAGCTCATGTTCAAATCGATGGAACATTTTTCTTCGTTCGAAGCAGAAAACAAAGAAAGAGACAAAGTGCTGTCCTTTTCTTCCTCATCCCAATTATGTGTTCTTTTGCTTTCCCCTTGTCTCAGGTTCATGCTCAAAGACAGATTGAGGTCAACGCCATTATCCGGAGCTTTTCTCTTTGCTGTGTTTGCCTTTTCAGTCTTTGTACCACTGCACTTTGTTTCTGGGCTTGCAGCATTTACGATGCTCTCAACTCTTTTTTCTTTATAAATTTGTGTCAACTCGGAATTGGTTTCTCCACGGGATGGCCAGATACCTTTGTGATTGATTTTGGTGTCGGGTAACCATGTAAAATCTTCCATATAATTGTAAGATTTCCTCCTTTCTTGTGTACCAAATAGAGAACCATTGATCGCGTTTGCACCAATACCCCCATAGATCCTTCCCAACGATGTATTGTGGAAGACAGTTCCTCTTTTGATATTTGTATCATCAACTGTACCAGGCATAGCTCTCCAAGTCATATTGCTGGTCCAATTGTCATCACTGTAGCTGTAGCTGTTGTACCATGTTAAAATGCAGTATAGGATTATATAGTACTAATTTTTTTGCATAAACATAAATAAATTTCATGATAAGCATTAATTACCTGAAGCTGGACCGAATCCCGCGATCAAGTGTAGCAAATTGCCAACCGTTTCGAAGAAAATGATCCATGCTACGAAAGGGATACCCTCTTTCATTGATTACTGGGTATACGTGAAAGTTATACCAAGGTGTAAATTAGTTAAATTGCCCAAAACACTAAAAAGAACAAACAGAAAATATGTTTCATAAACGAGTTACAAAAACCCCCAATTAATTCTAGATTTCTAGTAGGAATAAAAGGAATATATATACCTTGACCGTGGTCATCAATATTCTTACTCCTATACATCTGTTGCAATAAAAAGAACAAAGAATTCGGGAACTCAATTAATCAATTGGGTTCTCAATGCTTAAAATATCAAAATAAGGAGAAGAAACCAAATATTGACATTCAAATAATATTGTCTTGGTTATATTTCAAATAATATCCTATCCAATATTGTCTTGGTTATATTTTCTTTCCAAGATCTGCAAGAAATATCTTACCTGTAAGTGGCTCTTGACATGAGCAATACTAAGGCCCTTGACATTCATAAGCTGCAAAACAAGTTTAGGTGTTGCTCCTACCAAAAAAAAAAAAAAGAGAGAGAGGTAAGTCAAGGAACCTTGAGTCAGATTTTCTATAGTAAATAATCAAGAAAAGTAATTTTGAATGATTAATCACTTACTTTCCTGGCCACCTAATTTCTCAACAGCTTGAACAAAGCAACGATGAAGATCCGGAGTCCACCTTAACCGTGGCATCTTAGATCGTACATACTGTCTAACCCCAGTAGCACTTAAGCTCAACTTTTTCCCAGTACTCTCCACAGCCATGCTGTTGCTTGAGCTGCTTCCACTCGTTTTATGGTCATCTGAACCCCCTCCATCTTTCATCCCATGATCTGAGCTATTCACCTCAGGTAGTCCATCAGAAAAGTTTCCCTTTTCTTCCATGGATCCTTCCAACCTTTAAACTTTATTACGATGACCAACACTTCATGACCAAATACCAATCAAGGTGTGAAGCACTAGGTAGCTAGTAAATCTCCCCACCTCAATTTGTATCTTGTCTCAACATACTTAGGCAGCAGTTAAGCTTACAAGATTGTGGATGATGTGTAGTGTCGGACAAAGTTCTTTTTCAACCGATCACTGGAGCTCATGTATTTCTTTTAACTTATATATTGCAATGAAGGGAGAAAACAAGCCTAACTCTGTCAAAGTCCAACTTAGAAGTAGACCTGTCTAGAAGGCAGCCCCCTGTTGTGTGCTGATATATGCACATCTATTCATGCATGCATCTTCACATACATGCGTGTAAGTAAGCATACATATATATAAATATATATATATATATATATATATATATATATATATGCGTGTGTGTGTGGGGCCTATAAAAATGAAATTAAGACAATAAACATAAAAAGATGCTTTTTGGTGTAGAAAGTGAAATTTTGGACTGGTTTAACCTACATACGGTGGTAAAAAGGTTTGGTGGAGACTGCAATCAAGAATTTTGGAACATCAGCACTCTTGGATGCAGGTCAGGGATCAAATCCTTTGACTTGCATACTTCTCCAGGATTTCTTGAAAGTTTTATCCACAGGTGCAGAGGTATTCATTTGATCATGTGGTGATTGAGTTCCCTTCGGATTTTTAATTGAACCATTAGGTTCGTTCCCTCCCCCTAATATAGAGTAGGAGTAGGTATATAATATAAACAGTTGTGTCAATAAAAAAGATACATCAACACTTTAGTAGCTAGGGTTTACTCCTCTCTCAATTGGGTTGTTGGGAAGCAAAGTTAATATATTTAGAATGAAAAATTATTCACCGTAACCGGGTTATTATTATTAGAAAAATTTGCTAAATTGGTTCCTTACATTTTTAAAAAAAAAACTTTTTTAGTTTCTAACATTTAAAATCAGCTAGAATAGTCCCTCGCATACAAATTATGTACCAACTTTCTCCTAATACTTGTCTTTGCTGATTTCTCCGACCAAAAATTGCACGCCTCTCTCACGTGGACATAATTTTAAGGGCAAAACTAGAAACACAGTATCTAATTAATTTCAAGGGCAAAATCGGAGTGGACCACAACATCCATTAATAAAATAATGAACATTCTTCAATTAATTAAAGTAAAAACACAGTCTTAAGCAAGATTTGGCCACAATAATTACTTTATTTAACACATTGGTAAAAAAAATTCACTATAATGCATTGTGAAGTTCCACTTTCTCGATTCGTTCTGCATCTTTTTGAAGGTTTTCTTCACAATTTTTCAGCCAAAGCTTCGATCATTCATCAATCAGATGCCTACACCTTACTCATGGTCATCATCGTCAACAAAATTCCTAAGGTTATGCTTGTTAGTTAGGGGATGCAAGGAATTAGGGTTTTTGTGGCTGTAAAATGAGGGGAACAGTGAAAAAATGGGGTGGTGGTCCTGTGCACTTTTGATTTAGAAGGGAAACAAAGTGTGTTTCCGATTTTGCCCTTAAAATGATACTTACGTGAGAGAGCCGTGTGATTTTCATTCAAAGAAATGAATAAAGACGAGCAATATGACCAAACTGGCACATAATTTGTATGCGATGAACTATTCTAGCTGGTTTTAAATGTTAGGGGCTAAAAATTTTTTTTGAAAATGTTGGGGACCAATCTGGCAAATTATTATTATTATTATTATTTAATGAAGTAATGAATAGTGGAATTGCAAAGCGGTGGGAAAAGTACGTATGTGCAGCTGATACTTCTTGTCAGTGTTCACGGATTTTATCTTTGCCTTGTTTTGTTTCCCATCACAATAATAAAGACAACGGTGAAACTTCATGTCGATGAATGAAGCATACGTACGTTTAAATTAATTATCATTTGCAGAAAAATCAAGAATCCTTTGCTTTTGTCTTTGGATGATAAGATTTTCGTGATATATGAAGATGGAGGAGTGGTGAATAATTTCAGGCATTTGGGAATTCGTCGGATATATATATATATATGGAGATTTAACTTTTGCATGGGAGACCATCTTTGATCAATCATCCAGCAGTCAAAGTCTTGAATTGAATGGTTCTTCGCAAAACGTACAGAAGAAATTGCTTCAACGGTCCAACACGTGCTTTGGGCGACTATATATTTTCATGCGTTGCTACGTAATAATTTTTCCTTCCCTTTCTTTATTGCGTTTAGGGAAGTTCTTTGACAACTGAGCAAGACATATTGGTAACTAAAGTTGTGGTTTTCTCATTGAAAGGAAAACTAAGCGAATATTTTCAACTATTAGTGTTGGCATAATTAAGCCAAACGTTCTAATTAATAATTAATGTTTCCTATTTCTAATTTAGAAGTTCAAGTATAGTCAAATTTTAGTAGTTTATGTAGAGTAATTATTTGATAGTTCCTTGTCTTAGTAGTTCTTATTTACTAAATCATATTGACTATATATTGGGTGTTTTAGTATTGTACTCGATTGAGAAAAATGATAGAAAAATTAGATAGAGTTATAGTTGTTATAAATGCAATTCTATCTAAGATATATGTCGGTGTTTGAATATGAAAATCGAATGTGCTTATTATTTAATGTGATTGATAATAAACTTCTCATTTCCCACATTTTTTTTACACGTGTCAAATATCCTTCGCTACAACTTTTTTGTGCTAACAATTAGTCCCGTTGTTCATCATTTTTTGGAAATTTTCCTCCCAAGAGGGGAACAGAAAGAGCCGATTGTAATAAAAATGAAACAGTCTTAATTTGACCGTGGTCGTCCAAATTCCGTAGGCTTCATAGACTCTTTGTAATGTTCAAGTCTATGTCTAATTAGCTGTAGCTTCTTTGACAACTCGGGGTTTCTGATAAAGATGGTCACCCAAATTCCTACCCAGTCAAGTACATGAGGACAATGATCAATCATGTTTTTCCAAAGCCTAGCAATGGATTTTCAATTTTTTGCTTTGTAAAATGGAGTTATTCAAAGTCAGTAGCCGCATATCAAACAGTCTACTGTAAGTATAAGCAGCCCTACTTGATGCAGATGACGCTCAACAGCTGTCTGCAAATCTGGGTTTTTTTTCTTTTTAATAATTGCTGGCTCCCATGGAAATAGATTGAATTTCAAGCATCCTTTTCAAAGTTTGTCGACTGTTACGTGCTACTATATCGAACAATTTACGAGAACAATAAATAAAGAAAAAAACAAAAAGCATAGACTTCAATACAAATACTACAAGCGTTTGTTTATTCGATAGAATGCCTAGAATGTCTGTCTCTTGGACCGCGCTGCAGTCGCCAAAAAAGAAAATTTAGAGCACCAATAAGCCATTGAGATTCGATCCTAAGTAGGATTACAAGTAATCAATTGCATTTTGCGCTGTATTTTTTGGAATTTGGAGTAAGGTTAGTAGTACGTACTACTAAACAAAAGTAGCTAGCTGCACCGTGAGTGGAGTTAGGGTTTGTGTCTTCCAATTTATCTAAGTTCTTTAAAATGGAATTTGTTCTGCATATTTATTTGATTTTTTCTGACACTAAAATTTGTCCCATTTATGCAATGGATTTATGAAAATCCACTCACCTTAGATTTATCGTGTTACCACACCAAAACAGTTCTTGATATGCGAAGGTTTATCAATAGTCCTTAAGAGGAAAGCTCAAGAAAATAGTGCGTAGTAAAACAAATACGACAGCGATGATGATGCTGGATTCTTCATCTACCGAAGTTTTCTACCCCTCGATCGCATTGTACATAGACTTTTTCATCCTTAAAACAGACATCAATCATTACTATTAAGCCTACAGTAGTATTTGTCAATTTCAACAAAGTCTGGACACAATGGCGGAAGCAATTGCAGAAAAGTCCAAGACTTGCAGGATACACAAGCAGAGTGACTCTGATTGGTATATTTAGGCATGGAAATACACAAGTTTTCTTTTTCTTTTTCTTTTTTTTTTGTGGGTGCTGGAACAGGACAAAAGTTTCAATGAGATGGATGAAATTACGAATCTTTGTTGGTATTCTTTTTTGTTTTTTGGTAATCTTGTAATCAGTAAATGCAAAGCCAAGTTTGCAATTTGAAGAGGTTGAAAGTTCCAGCGTGGACAGCAAAGACTTGAAAGAGAAGGAAGGGCAGAGAAAGAGTCCAGCTTAGAATTTGATGAACCGCGGCAACACAAGAAAGAAAGAAAGAAAAATAATTGCAGAAAGGCCACACAAGAAAGAAAGAAATAGTTGCAGAGAGGCCAAGAGAGGTTTTTGGAGTAAATTGGCCTGGCAGAGTGTAATTTTGTCCGACGATGTCGTCTACCTATAACCAATGTTTTAAAACTCTTATCATCAGTAAATAAATAGGTGTGGAACCACTTAGCCAAATAAGACGGTAAGTCGGGGGTTTGAATCCCACCTGCCATGAAAAAATTCAATGGTGATGTTACGAGTCCTTTTTTAGTCTAATCATATTTGTATATCTGCTAATCCCTTACATAATTTTTTTATACTTTCCTCCCAGTAGAATAAGATAGATTAAATAATAAAATGACATCGTTGTAGGAAAAAAAAATGTAGTGTTTAGATTACAGTTCAATCGATCTGACTGGTTCAACTCCGCATGTTTCCTACCTAAAATTAGATGTGTCAAAATTGGTGATTCTGATGAGTTTGAACGGGTCACAATTGAGTAATGGATATTAGTGGGTTAACTCATTTATGCCTATTTAATAAATGAGTCAAAATGAATTAACCCATTTAATAAATGGGTATTGATATACCCAATTGTCCATTTATGACTCACTTCACAATTATATTTTTTTATTTTTTGCATATTATTTGATAAGAAATAACAATATTTTATTATTATTATATTGAAAAAAAAATTAAATTTATCTACTTAATATCCACTAAAAAATAAATTTTAAATGTATAATTATTTTTAAATAAATATAAATAAATGAATCTAATCAATCTACTATTCATCAATTAAATAAATTTAATTAAATATCTATTTAGATCCATTCAAAATTCAGTTAAATTTTAACTGGAGTCCACTTACATAATTAGGTTGGCATCGATACCTGTGCTTACAGGACATGACCCTTGAACAAAGGTCAACTCTCAACAATCCCGTCCATTAATTTAAATCAGACCAGTCCACCGAAACCCAATTATTAATTGCATGCGAA